CCAGGAGCACCTCCTTGCCCTCCTGTGCACAGGAGCCCCCAAAAGGAGACCCTCTACCCTCTGTCCTGAAGCTGATGAGGGGGACGGAGTAACAATCTCAGAGTCACCTAGGCTACTAGTAAGAAGAGTCCCAACTTCCAAGATATCCAAGGCCAGAGGCAGAAACTTACATGTCATCAACTTTGAAGATCACAAGGAACCGAGAGACTCCTAGCGCCATCTTCAAATTCATATATGTTGCTCAAAATAACACATTGAGCCTAAGTGAATCTAAGGAGAAAACTGGTATCATCTTCCATTTCTCTCCCTCCAACCATAAATAAATTCTAACAGACTGATATCCATGGCCTCTCCTCTGATACCGTTTTAATTTTTGATTGTTTTTGTTTGTTTTTTTCAAGACAGGCTCTCATATAGCCCAGGCTAGCCTTAAGCTCAATGTGTACCGACGATGATTTCCAACTCATGACCCTCTGCTCTACAGACTGGCCACTGGGATTACAGGCAAGGGCCACCATGCCCGATTTCCTCTAGTACTTTTTTTGCGGGGGGGTAGGGGTTGTTGTTGCTTTGTTTTGACATAAAGTCTCACTATGCAGCTCTGGCTGGCCTGGAACTAGCTGTATAAACCAAGCTAGCCTTGAATGAACAGAAATTTGCGTGCCTACCCCTCTGCAGTGCTGGGTTTAAAGGTTGCACCACCAGGTCTGGCTCCTCTGGCCCTTTTTATGCTCAGACCAGGAACTAAAAATCCCAAATAGTAGTAGCCAGACTAGGATCCAACATCCACTCCCCAATCTAAGCATAATCTCTCCTTGAGACAGATGAGAAAGCCCCAACTCTCCCTTAAGGGTATTTGGTTAGGAGTTAATATTGAATATTGTTGAATGTTGTTCAAAATGTTGATTGCATGGGAAATCTCTACTGTGGGCACCCTGTGCTATTTTCTCTTTTGAATGGAAACTGTCCTGTCAAGTCAGGTGACCATTTGACTAACAGCTGCCAGACACCACCTCCCTGTGCCTAGCTTTCTTGAGTGGGGAGCTGATGAGCAACCACTCCCTTGATGACTGACCGGACTGTGAGCACAGCAGCCTGGTTGTGTGAACATGCCAGGGTACCCCAGGCAGCTCCATCCAGCTGCAAAGATGGCTGCACAGATCACCATGACTGTGGCTGCTGCTAGGGGCAGGCGTGCAGCCTCTGGAGAACTTGTTGTATCACAGCCACTCCACACAGCTCACATCTGCTCCAGAGGAGTTGGGTCTTGCCAACCCTTTGATGACCACCCTCCATCTTCTTCTACTCTCACTGGTGGAGGAATGACCCCAAGACTCAGCAAAGGCCTGCGGTTGGTAGAACTAGAGCTACTCACCTACAAGGCTGTGATCGGTGAACTGCAAGCCAGGCTCAAGCAGGCAGTGCCCCTCATCTGGCTATAAAAGCAGCCTAGGTTTCGCTCTTAATGGGACGGTCTGGGAGGATGACCTTCTGTACCAGCAGGCTTCCTGATAGAAGCTGATCACCTGATTATAAGCTGTTAAGATAGGCTAGCCTTTGGAAGGGAAGTCTCATCCCAGGTTAGACCATAGCAACCAGAAAGCAACTCAGGAGGAAATAAGAAAAGTGAGCAAACAGAGGGCTCCGTGAGGAAAGGAAGCCCAACATGGTTTCTAAGGGGGGCAATGACTGTCAACTGATGGGTGCCTGGAGGGGCAGGGCAGGGATGCCAATAGCCAGGGAAGAAAGTGTTAGAGTCCAGGTCTGGAGGCGACCCTCTCCCAGTGTAAAAAAGCCTCACAAGACAGGCCATGAGGGCCCCTTTGCAAAACAGGAACTGGCCAGGCACCTGCATTTAGAGCCGTCAGCACAAAGCTGTTCCCCAGATAATTTTAGAAGATAAACAGGTCCCTGCACCCAGACCCACTGATGAGAGAGTTGTCTCCCTTGAAACTGTAAAGATTATTTTTGCCACTTTCCACATTCCCCAACCCCCTTATAAGAACTTCCCCAGCCGTCAGAAGGCTGCTGGTTGCCTTTCTCTCCCCAGCTGAGCTGCCAGCCACCAGCAATCCTAAGAAATAAACTTTGCTTTACTGGAGCCCTATGTTTCCTCTGGCTAGTCCCTGCCCAGCTTTTATCTAACAGAAAGGAAACAGGAATCAGAAATCTCAGAGGGATCAGGTAGTGGTGCTCAAGTGTGCACAAGTGGACCATGGTCCTCTCCTTCCTCCTGTCCCTGTTCTTGGACATACTTAATCTGACACTCTGGAAAGGTCTAGGATGTAGGTTAAAGGAAAACTCTGAGACAGATTGGGGTGGGGGCTCAGTAGTCAATTAAAAGATCTATTAACACTATCAGTGGGCAGACCACATGGTGGGGGCTCCGATTGCATTTCAGGTCTCAGCACTAGAGACAGATAGCATAGCGGAGCTTGGAAGAGAGGAATCAGAGCCCCGTTGGCAGAAGTCTCGTCTTATACCTTTCTGGGATGGAGGAGTTTTCACAGCACAAGCCTGCAGCCAGGCTCTCTGACTGCCAGGCAGGAGGCAGGGAAGGGAGCGGGCAGCAGGATGTGTGGCCACCAGTGCCCCCTTTGATGTAAACTCGCTTCCTTCGTGAGAGATCCTGGCACTGGGAAGTCTGTTAGCTTGGGACTCACAATGTCTAGGTAGGGTGTCTTGGGGATCTGTAAGAGAGGAGGGGCTGCTGCAGAGACTGAGGCCTGAGCAGCCGCTGGATTCTAACACTGCGTTCTTACGCTGCCCATGGTCACATGGTTTGTGGAAGCTCTTCCTCAGCTGTGAACAGCAAAACCTCAGGTTGTTCTTTCACATCAGACATCCTCCACTGTGAAAGCATCATGGGTGCAGGAAGTTGCTCCTGATGGGCAGGAGCACTGCAGGAGACTGACGACACAGCATCCCTGACAGAGATCACATCCCACAATACAGTCCCTCGTGGGGATTCAACTGGGTCCAGGGAACTGAAAATGGATCAGAGCCTGTGACTTGTGATTAAGGAGCCGGCAGGTGTCAGCACAGGGGCCTGAACACAAGAAAAAGCAGGGTTTCTGCAGAAGCTTCCCAGAGTCTGTTGTGCAAAAGTTCTGGGGCCCAGTAACTGGCATGTGGTTCGCCCACTGAGGCCCAGTCCCTCCTTAGGTGACTTAATAATCGAGGGGCCTTCTACCCATAGCCTACAGAAAATAAGGAAGGGCCAGGTACCACCTGGAGGTCAGTACTCATGACCAGCAGGCTACCCTCTCAAAGCTTGCTTGGGATAGAGATGTGGCTCAGTGCTTACTTAACATACACAAAACCCTAGGTTCCATCCCCAACACCGGATCAACAGGCATGGTGGTGCACGCCTGTAATCCTAGCATTTTGGGAATGCTGAGGCAGGAGATTCAGATGTTGATCTTCCCCTGCTACATCACCAGTTTGAGTATATAAGGTCTTGTCTTGAACATACGACCAAAAAAGACCTTTCTGACAAGTGTCCCCTGTCATCTCTTCTGACCTCCTTTCTATCTCAATCAATTCATCCCAAAGCTTCTGCAGCTCACTGTCCCTGAGGTTGAAATATATTTCAGTGTGGAAGTATATATATTACAGTGTGTCCACCAGATAATTCACAGCTGAAAGAGGAGCCATGGGAGTTCTCATCTAGCTCAAGTCAAGAGGTCTGAGGACCATGGGAGCTGTGAGAAGGGGGTAGGAAAAGCAGATGTGTGAGACAGCAGGCCTTCTGGTGCCTGAGGGGAAGTGTGGATGTCAGTACCAGGAAAGCCAAGGAAAAGGGAAGTCACCTCTGCATATCTCACTCAAAGAGACTGATGCCACTTCCTCTGGTGTAGTATGTGTTCCTGCCCCTCAGGGAGCTGATGGCAATGTCATCATGGGGAGGGCAGGGAAGATCCTGCAGAACCAGCCCCACTGTCATCACTATCTGTGCCCCCCAGCCCTCGCACCTCTCCACCTCAGTCACAGGCTGGCTGTGTCCATTGTCACATGTCCCAGAGACTATGCCATGGGTAACACCTTGCTATTCTGAGCCTTCTTTGCACACTGTGTCCACGGAAGGTTCTGGAATGGCCATACCTGGAGGCAATCACCTCAAGAGCTTTATGGAAACAGCCTCCTGGGGCCTCAGCACTAGAGCTGCAGCCTCTGAGGTGAGGCTTGGAGACTGTGCTGCGGAGCCAGGCCAAAGTCCCTGTGCAGAGGAAGCATACACAGACTCAGGACTGGACTCCAGTCAAGTTGCCATGTGACAGTTATGTGACCTGAGCGCAGCTTCTCTGAGCTGCAAACTCCTCCTGTGTGGAATGGGAGGACAGGGAAACCGCTACTTGTGCAGGAGTAGCTTTGGGGTCACTGTCTAGGTGAGTGGGACTGTCACCTGGGGAGTCCAGAGACCATGTGGACCTAGAAGCAGAGAGCAGATCAGGCCAAAAGGGTCCAGCAGGGCTTGATTCTGCCTGGGGGCTGTGGGGAGTCTGTAAAGGACAGAAGACCGGGGCCACTGTGCTAGGGCTGCGGACTGAGGGAGCAAGCGCCCCTCCACCACCACCTTCTTCCTTGTCACTAAAGCTGAACATGCACAGAAACCGATGGCCTCTTCCCCAGATGAGAGACACAGACTGAGACCCTCAGAGAACCGGCTATGTGGGAGACAGCAGAAAGACAGACTGAGGACAGGGAGGGCAGGCGTGGAGGAGAAACAGAGCAGGCTTTATAGGAAGTAGAAAAGACTGGGCTAGGCAGGAGCTCATGGTGGGAGAGAAGACGGCCAGCGAGGCTAGGTCAGGGCCATGTATCCTAGATGAAAGATGGGGACTGGGCATAGCTAGGGCCCGTCCTGTCAGAGACCACAAGGGAGGCTCTGGTCCGTTGTGGGAAAAGGAGAAGCCAGATTGATAAAGGAAGCTGCTGGCCACAAGGAGGTGGAGATGGGGAGGTTCCTCCTTCCCTCAGTCTTCTGAAGGAGTCTGGCCTGCGGATATGGTCACTCTTCCTGATCTTTCTTGGTCCTGAGCACTCCCTGAGCTCCTCACAGGGCCTCCTCTCCTTCTGGATGGCTCTGCTTCTCTCATGCCCTGGAGGGAATCAGGCCATGGCTTGGATCCTGCTGTTGCTGCTGCCACCAGCATCCCTGCAGGCTGGTGAGTGGTGGGGACCTCACTAGCAGGGACTCTGCCTTAACCACAGGAGGAACCAACGGGACTGGGGAGAGTGGGCTACCACGTGCAAAAGTGTCTGCTAGGGAGGAAGCCAGTCCTGTTTGTCCCTCAGAGGGCATCCTACCCACCCACCCCCTACCATCCAGAGGGACAGTCCTGTCTGTGGATGAAGGTGCAGGAAGGTCTGGATTGTCCACTCTGCCCCTGCGGTGACTTCAGATTCTCCCCATCCACCCCAGGTAACCAAGCAGGAGCCAACAGAAAATATGACTATGGTGTTGAACAACCACCATACCTGTCTGGTGTCCTGGGCGGTTCCATCGACATCCCCTTCTCCTTCTACTTCCCCGGGAAGTTGGCAAAGAATCCCCAGATGAGGATCTCCTGGAGATGGAAGCACTTCCATGGGAAATTTTTCTACAGCAGCACCCCGTCTTTCATACACAAGCACTTCGAGAACCGGGTCACCCTGAACTGGACACAGGGTCAGACGTCTGGAGTCCTCAGAATCCTGAACCTGCTAGAGGAGGACAAGACCTCGTACTTCTGCCGAGTCTCTCTAAACACACTGAAAGAAGGAAGGCAGCAGTGGCAGTCGATAGAGGGGACCACACTCACCATCGCCCATGGTGAGCCACCCTGGTGATGCTTTGGTGTCCGTAGATGTCACCAGAGGCCCTACGCTTCTGATCAGTCTCATGTTCCTCTCCTGTCTTTTCCCCAGACCTCTGCCAACTTTCCCTTTTCTTTTCCCCACAAACATCTGCAAACCGCAGCTGCTTTCCCTGACCTGGCCGTCTCACTGTCCCCCTCAGATCCAGCCCTCCCTTGCTCCCCATTCCTCAGCTCTTGGCACTGCCGCCCACCCATTTCCTTCCCTCACTTCTCGACACCAGTGTATTTGACTTCTACTGGTTCACTTGGTCCTGTTGTCAGGGTTCCAGTTAGACCCAGGGTTCACTTTGTAACTTGTGCTTTACACAGCTGAGTTCATCCCAGAACACACAGCAGGTGCCAATGGAGACCTTGGTGCCCTCTGGTCCCCATGCACACCCCTCATCCTCTGGGTTCCCCATCTCCCACTTCATCTCTCTCCAAGACATCCCTCACCTCCCTCTGCCCAGTCTCTTCTCTCCCCTCCATTTCCCTCTTCCCTTCCCTCTTTTCCTCGCCAGCCTCCCCTCAACCCCCCATGATCTATAGTGATGATGTACCATGATCTGGCTGCTCTGTTCCTCTGGTCATTGTAGCTTCCTCTCGCAGGGTGCGCTGAGGCCCAGCCTGGTCACTGTGTGGGTGGTACCCCAGCTGTGCTTCACCACGGCCGTATGATAGCTGCAGGCATGCTCGTGGTCACTGAGCAGAGAGACACACTGAGGCCAGCAGAGTTCAACCCCTCCCCAGAGCCCTGCTCATGACACACAGGCCTTGAAAGGGTAGTTCATTGCGGAGACACGAATTCAGTTTGAGTTGGCCCTGTTGCTCGTTGACTCTTTTTATAGTGCATGTGTATGTGGTGTAAGCATGTGTGTAAGTGCACACGCCTGTGTGTGTGCTTGAGCATGCCAGAGGTGGATGCTGGGGATCCTCTATTATTCGTCTCCTTGTTCCCTTGGGACAGGGTCTCTCACTGAACCTGAAGCTCACGGTTCTCCTGCCAGGGCTCAACCTTCATCTTGACTCCATCTCCAGTGTTTGGGGTTATAGGCGCTCACGTGGCCTGTCTCATAAAACAAGGGGGTCAATGTCTGAAGAATGGACACTCAAGGTTAATTTCTTGCCTCCACACACACATGGACATATACATACACATGTATTGACATACACATACACACATATTTGCAAGAATAAATAAATTTTAGAAAATAGTCAAAAACAAAATTAATATTCTAATAATAAATCAATTATAACTGGGCATGGTGGAGCATACCTTTAATCCCAGCACTCAGGAGGCAGAGGCAGGTGGATCTCTTCCAGGTCGAGGCCAGCCTGGTCTATATAGTGAGTTCCAGGCCAGCTGAGGCTACAGGGAGACTCTATCTCAAAAAGACCAAATAATAACAATAATTACTAATTGTGCTGACAATTCTCAGCAACATCAGTGATAAATAGATCATTCTGACTCACCTCCCTGCTGACAAGTCACTGCCTTGTCTTAACCCCTGTGCTGGTTCAGTGCACATGGGAATTCTACAGTCCTCATTGGTGAGGCGGTCTTACATTTGTTTCCTGTGCCTCTGACATAATTCCCCAAATGGCCTCTTCTGAGATTTTTGGTTCTTTTCGTTTCCCTCTTTCTCCTTTACTAAATCTTCCTTGCCTTTGATAATCAGGTGCTTGGTGTAAAGGCCACTCTGAGGCAGACGCTCCTGTCTCCAGTCACATTTGCCGTGTCTTTTTGTTTTGTTGTTGTTTTATAGGGCCGGGGATGGCTGCCAGGACCCTGATGCATGCTAAGCAAGGGCCCCACCGTTAAATCACACCCTGCCCCTACTGTGAATTCTTTTATTGATCAATTATTTTTCAACAGATTCAATTAATTGAACATTTGTGCCCATGATTTTAAAAAGAATACTAAAACTAATAAAAAGATAATTTTCCTTTCTAAAAAATTTTTGAGACGGACTCTCATGTAGCCCAGCATCAAACTTGCTGTGCACCTGAGAATGCCCCCAAACCCCTGAGTCTGCTGCTGCTGCTTCCCAAGTGCCAAGATTACAGGCATGTGTTACCACACCTGGTTTATGTGGTGCTGGAGATGGGATCCAGCGCTTTGTGCTGGGCAAGCGGTCTGCCAACTGAGCCACGTGCTCATATCCCAAAAGAAATGTTTTTATCCAACCAAAATAGCAGTATGCAAAGATCACAAATTGAAGAAAATATGTATAACAATTTGTGCTTGGTTTAGTTTTTTTTTTTTTTACATAATTTCTTTTTTATTTTTGTCTTTTTGAAGCAGGTTCTCCCTGTAGCCCCAGCTGACCTGGAACTCACTATGTAGACCAGGCTGGCCTTGAACTCACAGAGATCTGACTGCCTCTGCCTCCCAAGTGCTGGGACTAAAGGCATGCACCACCCCACCATGCCCGGCTTACATAATTTCTTTCCTTCCTTCCTTCCTTCCTTCCTTCCTCTCTCGAATTCTTTCTCTCTCGCTTGCTTTCTGAAGCAGGATCTCACTATGTAGCCCTGGCTGCTGAAACTCAATATGTAGACCAGGTTGCCCACTGCCTCCTGAGTGCTAGAATTTAATGTGCATTCCACCATACTTGGCTATTTTTAAATTTTAAAATAATTTTATATAAAAATATTGAGTAAATTCTGGGGAAGAAGGTGGATTGTATGTACACGTCCACCTCCACTCCCTCCTAAAATCCACTAGAAAGACAGAAAAGGAAATTATTGGAAAACTTGGAGAGCTGAATGGCAGTGATATACTGACAAATGAATGGGGTTGGAAGCAGTGAACTGTGTGTTGCATATAGTTAAAACATATATTTTATGTTGCATATATTTGCAGCAATAAAAATGACTTTTAAAAATATTTTTTCTGTATTATTTTTATTTTTTACGTGTATGAGTGTATTGCCTGCATGTGAACACACCCATGTCATGCAAGGCCTGAGGAAGTCAGAAGAGGGCGTTGGATGCCCCTGGAACTGGAGTTACAGAGGATTATTAGCTACCATGTGGGTGCTAGGAATCGAACCCGGGTCCTCTGCAAGAGCAGCCAGTGCTCTTAACTGCTGAGCCATCTCTCCAGCCCCTAAAAGTGACTTTTTAAAGACTGGTGTGGCTTTAAAAAATCACATGCCTATAATCTCAGCACTTGGAAGACTTAAGCAGGAAGATCAGGAATTCAAGGGCATTTGGGCTACATAGCAAGTTTAAGACCAGCCTGGGCTACAAGAGACTGTCTCAAAAGTAAAAACGAGCTGGAGAGATGGCTCAACCCTTAGGAGCATTTGCTCTGCAGTTATGAGGACTAGAGTTTGGATCCCAGTACCCACATGACAAGCTGGGCCTCCCTGTGGAGGCTTGTAACACCAGCTCCAAGGAGACAGGGCCAGGACTGCTGGAGGCTTGTTTGCTTCAGCTAGGGGAGACAAGAATCCCAGGTTCAGGGAGAGACCCACCTCAGAGGAATAGGTAGAGAGTGATGGAACAGGACATCTGAAGCCTTCTGGTCTCTGCATGCATGTAGAGGGAAACCCCCCACCCCAAGTACATACACTCACATAGACACATGCATTCATGTACACACAATAAAATTAAGTAAATATAAAATGATTTTAAATATTTTTATTTATTCTTTGAATATTTCATACATTTATACAATGCATTTTGATCACATCCATCCTGAATCCAAAATGTGGTCTCACCACATAGTAATGGTGGTCAGTATGGTCTCACCACCTAGTGATGATGGTCAGTAGGGTCTCACCAGCTAGTGATAGTGGTCAGTAGAGTGTCACTAGCTAGTGATGGTGGTCAGTAGGGTCTCACCAGCTAGTGATGGTGGTCAGTAGGGTCTTACCAGCTAGTGATGGTGGTCAATAGGTCTCACCAGCTAGTGATGGTGGTCAGTAGAGTCTCACCAGCTAGTGATGTGTATGGGTGTTATGTATCCCATGCCTGCCACTGAGATTTATTAGCCCATGTCTTCTGGGGCCAGCACTGTCCACCCCTGCAAGGTACTTCTGTTCAAACAAGGAAATTTTTTTTAAGAAAAAATTTTTCTAGTCAGGCGTGGTAGTGCACACCTTTAGTCCCAGCACTCGGGAGGCAGAGACAAGGGGATCTCTGTGAGTTCAGGGCCGACCTGGTCTACATAGTGAGTTCCAGGCCAGCTGGGACTACAGGGAGACCCTGTCTTAAAAAGACAGACAAAAAGGGGCTAAAGAGAAGGCTCAGTGGTTAAGAACACTGACTGTTCTTGCAGAAGACCCGGGTTCGAATCCCAGCACCCACATGACAGCTAACAACTGTCTATAACTCCAGTTCCAGGGGATCCAACAGCCTCTTCTGTCCTCTGCAGGCATTGCATGACATGGGTACACTTACCTACATGCAGACATAACACTCATATACGTAAAATAAAAAAAATAAAAATATTTTTAAAAAAGGACAAGAAAGAAAGAAAGAAAGAAAGAAAGAAAGAAAGAAAGAAAGAAAGAAAGAAAGAAAGAAAAGGTTTTTTTTCTTATTATTGGGATTTAGTTATCCCTATTTGTAACGATGAAATGAGGGTCTGAGGATACCCCCACCAGTAAGGGCAGAGAGTCAGCATTAAAACTTGGCTGTCAGTAATCTAAGCTTTCAGCCTGCTTCCCTCTCCCCATGTGAGCTTCTGAGAGCTGCTCCTCACCCCATATCCTCCCCTCAAATGAAACAAGATGTGGCACTCTCTCTCTGATTCCCCTCCCTCCTTCAGGATGGATCCACTTGTTACTGGAGTCAGTAGGCTCAGAACCTGGGCCTGGACAGCCCTAACAAGCCAGGCTCAGCTGCCTGTCCTCAGTAGACAATAGCGAAAAGCAGAGAGAGTTGATTTATTCAGTGTCAACATGTTGGGAAGAGCAACAGGGAGACCCAGTGACCCCCCCCCCCACCCAGACATGCATGAGCTTTATGTTTAAATAGAAAACAAGACGTGTGTACAGTTAAGGAGTCCTAGTTTAGGTGTGGCCCCACCCATCATTGGTCCATCGCTGTCCTGGGTCTGACCAGGTGTCAGAACTGTGTGAACTCTCTTCCTGGAAGACAAGCTCCCCCTCTGGCTGCTCCAGGATACAGCTTTTTCATTCGCCCAGCATGAGACTCCTGGAAAATTCCCCTTCCTTGGGGTCCATCTTTCAATGATCTGAGAGCCAAAGGGAAGGGACATCTTTAGAACGTCTTCATCCTGCCAGGAAGGTTGCAGGCTGATTTCTCATCTCTTCCCACAGCAGGCTCTGAAGTCACCACAGAAGGCTCAACAGTCACCACAGCTGGCCTTGCAGTCACAGAGGACCAGAGGAACCTGGGGACTTGGCCCTTAGATCAGGGAGCCACAGTTGGGTTAGTAGTGGCTGCTGTTCTGTTCCTAGCTGGGATTTTGGGATTGCTGGTCTTCCTCAGGTGGAAGAGAAAGAAAGGTAAGTGGTCTAAGACTGCCGATGCACACTTCCTGGGGGTGCTTGGGGGCGGGATGGGGGTGTGTGTCTCAGAACCATCAGAATCAGAGTCATTGAAGGTGCTTGTTAGAATTTTGGAGAATAAAAGGAAAGATAGAGGAGTAGGAGACAAGAAACCAGAGCCAGACTTGCAAGGAATATATCTTCCTTTATTCAAAGAAGATACTAGTGAGAGGTAGAGGCTGTCCGCAGGAACCAAGCATCTACAACTAGACAAAAAAAACTGGGGGGAGGAGGGGTTCATATGAAAATTATGAGGCACAGCTGCACTTTGTGGGTTTGGTGTCCTTGAGGGTCTCTTTTCTCAGACAGGCAGGTGAGTTATCTATAGCACTAAAGGGGACAGGTGGGCTCCACAGTCTGTCTCAGTCCCAGGAGTGGCCAGTTGATAGGTCAGGCTTGAGCAAGGCCAGGCTGCCAATTTAGGGCCAGTTAGACACTGTAAGGGATTTATGGCTTTCCCAGTGAGACTTGTGGCTCTTCTGCAATTCACACATTCTATTATTTTTTTTTAAATGCAGATATTGGGGCTGAGTCAGTAAAGTACTTGCCACCCACACATGAGGACCTGAGTTTAGTCCCTAGGGCCCATGTAAAGAGCCAGGCTTGGTGGTGAATGCTTGTGCTGGGGAGGTAGAGACAGGAGGATATCTGGGGCTCCCTGGGGCTCAGTGACCAGCCAGACTATACTAACTGGTGAGCCTCAGGCCACAGTGAGAGACAAAGTGGAGGGCTCCTGAGGAATGACACCCAAGACACACACACACACACACACACACACACACACACACACACACCACTCCAGCCCCCACACCAAGTAGATAGCTACTGGGCCCCCCTCAAATCCACTGAGTCAGGCCCTGAGTCTTGACCTTAGGAGCACTGGTTTTGTTGTTGTTGTTTTGTTTTGATTATTTGAAATAAACAGACTCACTATGTAGACCAGGCTGGCAATGAATTGTCAACTACTGGGAGAGCGGGAATTTATTATTACACCCTGCTGGGAATCTACTTTCAACAGGCCCCTCAAGTGAGGTTTCTGCAGAATCAAGTCAGAACCACACCATTGCATCAAGTCTCCATTCACTAGTGACTGAGTCTTCTCTCATTGGTCCTTCCTTTTGGTTGACAGAGAAGGAAGGGCCTGGCCAGGGGAAGTGGGAAGAGCAGAAGGGGTGGGAAGTTGACTCAGCTCAGCAAGGGATTATCCAGTGCCCACTTTCCAAGGTCTGACTTGAAACTGGAGAATCAAAATTAGATAAAGCAGAAAATAACTCAGTGGTCACAGGGAGACAGCAGGTGCCTCAGGGCTGGATGCCCATTTTGGAAAGAGCTGTGGTGTCAGTACACAAGAGATGGGAAGTTCAGGAGTAATCCTCAGAGGAAGAGAAACCTGCATAAAATATCAAAGGAAAAAATGAGTGACAGCAGGCATGGTGGCATAGACCTGTAATCCCAGCACTTGGGAAATGGAGGCTGGAGGATCAAGAGGTCAAGGCCAGCTTCAGCTACCATAGTGAATTCAAGGCCAGCTTGGGCTACATGAGACCTGTCTCAACCCTTGTGTGGCCCCCCCCACCCAAAAAAAAGCCAGGAAATCAGGGAGTCTGAGAGAGGACACTCCCTGGCTGTCCAGGGAGAGGAAACTACTCCAAGAACTATTAGGTAGAGTGGTGCTGCTGGAGGAAGGGGGAATGACAGATGGGCACCTTGTAAATCATGTCCAGAGCCTCTGAGACCAGAGACAGAATGGAGCAGCCACCTCAGCTCCCCACTGTGATGACATCGGTATGTGTGAAAGGTCTCAAATGGGACTACAAGAGGGTCATTGAGGCGGATCGTTGGGGAGTAAAGAGTTTATCAAGAGTTATCAGTTCCACAGACAGACAGAAAGACGGACAACAGCATGGCAGGAGCTCTGAGGACAGAGTTCTGGCAGGCCCCAGCACCAGAGAGGAATCAGGACCACAGGGCAGAAGTGGGGTCTCTTAGATATTTCTGAGGACGAGAGGTTTTGCAGCACAAGCCTTCAGCCAGGCAGGAGGCCAGGAAAGGGGTAGGGAGCAGGATGTGTGGCCAACAATGCTCCCTTTGAGATAAACTCACTTCCCCAGGTGAGCAAACCTTGGTACCAGGAAGCCTGTTAGCTAGGGACTCACAGTGTCTCAGTAGGAATCTTAAGGATTGGAGAGAGGGGAGGGGCTGCTTCAGGGACTGAGATCTGAGCAGCAGCTGGATTCTTACATTGCATTCTTTAAAAAATTGTTTTTGATTGATTTTTATTTTATGTGTATGAGTGTTTCACCCGCATGTACATAAGTACACCTGTGTGTAAAGCCCTCAGAGGCCAGAAAGGGGCGTCAGATCCCCCGGAGCTGGAGTTGCTGACAGCTGTTAACCATATGGGTTCTGAGACCTGAACCCAGGTCCTCTGCAAGAGCAGCCATGTGCTTAACCACTGAGCCATCTCTCCAACCCTTTTACATTACATTCCTATGATATAGAGAACAGGCAGGATCTGGGCCAGGCTGGGTCAGTTTAACACAGTGGGGCTGTGCATGGAGGAAAATGGCCAAAACTAGGAAACATCTGAGTTAAAAGCATTCAGACTTAGTGATTAGCCAGGCGTGGCAACATATCCTTGTAAGCCCAGCATTTGGAGGGTAGTGGCAGGAAGATCGGGAGTTCAGGGTCATCCTTGAGCCCCTGTCTCAGACAAACAAACAGTGGCGCCAAAGCAAGAGAATAGGAACAAGGCTCATGTTTTCAACTTGGGTGAAAAAGACTGTGATGAAACCAAACCACACAGGGAAAATAAGAGGAAACCCATTTCTGAGGGGGGAAGATAGCCAGTTCAGTCGGGGATATGTCATATTTAAGGTTCCTGTGTGACTCTGACTTTAGCTGTCTGTCCATAAGAAACTTGCATGTATGCACCTACAATAAGTCAAACAAGGAGCCAGAGAGATGCTCAGCAGTTAAGAACACTGGTTCCTCTGGCAGAGGACCCAGGTTCGATTCCTAGCACTCATACCAGGTAGCTCACAACTGCCCATAATTCCAGCTCCGAGGAGCTCCAATACCTTCTTCTGGCCTCTGTGGGCACCCACACATGTGATATATACTCACACAGACACATATACATAAGAAGATCTTTTTTAAAAAGGGAGAGAGGGGTGCTGGAGAGATGGCTCAGCAGTTAAGAGCACTGGCTGCTCTGGCAGAGGACCTGGGTTTCGTTCCCAGCACTCACATGGCAGCTAATAATCATCTATAACTCAGTTCCAGGGCATCCAATTCCCTCTTCTAGACTCTGCAGGCATTGCATGAGGGGTGCACTTTAAATACATGCCAGGAAACACAGTCATACACATAAAATAAAACAAATTTAAATTTTTTTAAAAAGAGAGAACAAGACTGGAGATATTGTTTATATGGCCCCAACATCCTCCAAAAGTGATTTGAAATCACTTTAAAACAGATTTGCAATGAGCTGGCCACGGTGGCTCATGCCTATAACCCCAGCACTTAGGAGGTGGAGGCAGGAGGATTGCCCTGAGTTCAATAAGAGCTTGCTTCACATGCATAAAGCCCTAGGATCCATCCCAAGCACCACATCAAAAGCAAAATAAACAGACAAAAAGACAAAGAGAAATAAAACCTCCAAACTGGAAAGGAAGAAGTAAAAAGTACCTGTCTGTAGGGATAGGACCTTACATTTTAAAAACGTTTAAAATTCTATACCCCAAAAAACTGCTAGAATTAATGAATGGATTTAGCAAAGTTGCAGGATTCAAAATCAATACACAGAATCAGTTGTATTTCTATAAACTAGCAATAAGCAACCCAAAAAGAAAATTAAGATCAGAGTTTTACTTGTAATGCCATAAAAATATAGAACAATAGGGTACTGGGGCCAGGTGTAGTGGCACAGGCTTTTAATCCCCAGCACTGGAGACAGAGACAGGTGGATCTCTATGAGATCAGCCTCAGCCTGGTCTACATAGTGAGTTCCAGGCCAGCCAGGGCTACATCATGAGATACTGTCTCAAAAAGATAAAGAAAATAAAAAGAGAGCTGGGCTTGGTGGCACACACCTTTAATCCCAGCACTCGGGAAGCAGAGGCAGGTGGATCTGCGTGAGTTCAAGGACAGCCTGGTCTACATAGTGAGTTCCAGGACAGCTGGGGCTACAGGGAGACCCTGCCTCAAAAAGACAAAAAAAAAAAAAAAAAAGAGGAGCAGCAGGGAGCTGGGAGGAGGTAGGGGAGGAGGAGGTAGGGGAGGAGGAGGTAGGGGAGGAGAAGATAGGGGAGGAGGAGGTAGGGGACACAGAAGTCCACCAGGGTTGGAACCCGGAGGCTGAAGATATGGGGGTGGAGTCAGCCAGTGCTCAGAGGAAAGAGGGGAAGTTTCTTGGGAGGCAAAAAGGAAGGTGTGGGGAGTGGAGAGGAGGGAACGATTTGGTGGTGAGGAGCTCAAGGTAGGGAGCAGGAAGCAAGGAAGAGAGTGGGGGGGGCGGGCACTGGACCCAGTAGAGCTTTTCTTGGGGTTTGCTATGGGGACAATAGGACAGCTGAGCTGACATCTGGCTTCTGCTGATTCCAGGCCCTTCCCTCGCTGGCTGGGGCAGAGCTGTGCTGCCCTGGCCTCCTAAGAATTGTCTAAACATAGGGCACAGCTGAGAGGGGAAATGGTGGATCAGCTTGAACATCACAGTGACACACTTTCTTCTCTTACAGGCCAGCTGACTGAGAGCACCCCCCCTGCCAGGTGGGTGCCTAAGAGGACTGGGTCAGATTGAAAGTAGATGATGGTTTGGGAAGTCTCCTTAGGCATTTTCCCATAAGAGTGAATAAATGGTTGTTGGGGAAGGGGAGTCATCTCCCCCAGGCGTATAGCCACTGGTACATTGCCCTTTCTCCAGATAACCCCCACCCATGTTCATGAACTCAATACTAACTAAATGCAGTGGGCCCTCCTGCGGTGGGCAGGAGGGGACTTGGGAAGAAGGGATAGGTTAGGGTTAGGGGATGAGATGAAATGGGGAAGGACCATATGAAATCATGAAAGAATAAATACATTAAAGAGAAAGAAAATGTCATCATGAAAGTTATTACTCTGTACAATTAATATGCTCTTATAAAGCCAGGTATGGTAGCACACACCTGTAATCTCAGCACTTGGGAGGTACAGGCAGGAGGATCAGGAGTTCAAGGTTAGCCTTAGCTACACAGCAAGTTCAAGACCAGCCTGGGGGACCCTGTCTCAAAAAATATATATATTCTGATAAAAAGGAATGTGTTATATGTGTCTATTTTTAGCTAAAAGCTTTTAATATATTTTTAAATATTCATTTAGGTTTTTATTCAAATTAAAAAATAAATATATGAGCCGGGCCTGGTGGCCCATGCCTTTAATCCCAGCACTTGGGAGGCAGAGGCAGGCAGATCTCTGTGAGTTCAAGGCCAGCCTGGTCTACATAGTGAGTTCCAGGACAGCTGTCCATTGGTATGGTGGGCGCGCGCTCTCTGGGCGCACTCCCGGAATGGCACAGCGGGTCCACAGGCTCCCCCACTGTGCGTCTGGAGGAAGGCAGGTCTGGCCCTGCGGGCTTCTCCGTGTCTCTATGGGCCTCAGGTGTGGGGTGTGCGGGTATCTTGGGGTCGCTCTGGGCCCCTGGATCTCGGGGTCCCCGCCACACCTGGCTAGTCGCTGGCGGGTCTGGCCACAGGCGTCTCTGGCCGCGGCGGCGGGTGCCCCGCAGGCTTTTCCTGGCGGCTCGGGTCCCATGTCTCTGGAAGCTTCTCTGCTGCAGAAGCGTTGTCCTGCCAAAATCCTGTCCCTATTCCACCTGTGTACTTTTCCTCAGGATGCGAGGTCCACTGGCCACCTGGACCTCGCGGGAGAAGTACGAGGACAGCGAAAGCTAGGATGTCCGCAAGTCGGTCAGGTCACGAGGGAGTGCGCCCCCCAGAGAGGCTAGGTCGACGGTAGTAAGGCTCAGAACTCGAGACTCGGCTTAGTCTGTGTTACAGCTTTATTAAGTGCCTCTGCTCTCAGTAATTCAGCAGCTCTGCGACCCAGCTCTCTGTGTCCCAGCTTTCTGCGACCCAGCTCTCTGTCTATTAAGAGAAGACTAGGATACTTATACCATGGGGGTAGTGGTAAAAGCTTTGGCTGTTAGATGCTTTGTGAGGCATTCTATTTACATATGGAAGTGGATTTCTACCACACTGCTAGACTGTTGACTGCCTGGAAAAATCACAGGAAGGCAAAGGCCATGTTTATGTTATGGCATTTGTGGCAGACACTTCAAAAGGAGAGACAGGAAAGATGCTGGAAG